TGGAGGAAGGTTAAGCTAAACAGAAAAAGAATCTTAACCGTGAAGGAAGGAGTAGAGCGGTGGAATGGAGTCAGAAGTCTGGCGGAGCGGTGACAGAAGTCCGGCGAAGCACCTGCGATGGGGAGGATTGGTGGTAGGAGTCCGGCGAAGCACTGCGATGGGGAGGAGAGGAAGGAGGGAGAGAGAGAATTAGGGGAGGCAAAGAGACGTGTGCAAAGTGGTCGTAGGGTTTAGTTTTTTATTATTATTTTTATTTTTAATTTTTAACTAAAGAAAAATATAGAAAATATTATCTCCTTAAAAAAAAAACTAATATAATTTTAATGAAATGGTTGTCCACATCAGCTGCCATGTAAGATGGTATTAAAATGTGGTAGATTTATGTGGTAAGCATAGCATTACCCTTCTCATATAATAATCACTTTACAAACTTTAGTATGATATAATCACTTTGATACTTGAAAGTACGAAGCTACCCTTCATCTAAATGGATACTTATTGCCCACTGATTGCCCTCACTCTTCTCTCCCCCGCAGCTCTCTCTTCGCTTTCTCTCTCCATTGTCGCTCCATGACCACCACCCCTCTCTTTCTCCCTTTGTCGCGAAAACCTAAGCATCTCTCTCTCTCTCTCTCTCTCATAGGTCATAAATAGATAGTCATGCCTACTACATGGATTAATATTATCAGTTTTATAATTCTCTGCTTACACTGCGTCCCATTGGGATGCTCAAGTAAAGAAACTTAATATTGCAATTAGTGATAAACAAACTGTCTCCTTGCATGTTTTTTTGCACTATAACAAGACTAATATTTGAACTAGGTTATCTCTTGGTTTAGAAGGCATGTTTGATGCTTGTCATCTTATTGTTATTGTTAGTATTTTGTAAACTCTGTTTGTTAGAACCTGTGAGTGGAGATATAGAAGAGTGTAGGATGTGGAAGGGTTTGAGACCAGGGGTAGTATTCAAGAGGCTACCTGCTCTGCCCCTCAAGATCTCAACCAATTGCAACTTAATACCTCAGGTTCGCTTCTCTTAGCTTCTGGGATTCTTCTTTTATTTTTTTTATATTTTTTTTTCATGTTTTGCTTTGCGTTTGTGGGTTGTAGTCTATATGTAACATAAAACTCATGATAAACCTTTGAGGAAAAACTTTGATTTCCCTTCAAAGTGAGGTATATTATCAAGGATTGACATGGATGAGCCTTTCTTAATTGTTCATTATTTGCAGGGGTAGCTTCTGAAGTTTGATGCAGTTGGTATATCTTGTGAATGAGCTCAAGTTTAATATTCGTGTTTATACATCTGTTAGTGTTTGCGTTTTGTGGAAATATATATTTAGGAAAAGGTAAATGTAAAACTCGTGTATTTGGCTTAATGTTTCTTCTTTTTCCTTCATTGTTACAGAGTTCCATGCATATCTGGCTTAATGTTTCTTTTTTTTTCCTTCATTCTTCCCAATTGATTGCAAGTGATCTTTTCATGTTCCTGTTGTAAAAGCCCTTCTCTTCCCTGGAGCTGTTGCAAAAGGTGCACCACGAAATTACCAGATCTTCTAAGCTTAATGTCCATATATAGAAGGAACCTAGCCTAGGGAGACAACATTGCACGTTTAACAGAATTGAAACACAATTAAATTACTCACGCTTGTGACTATCTGTTTTGATAAACATCAAATTTTATCTTCCTTCTTTGAAATGTGTGTGTTTGAATATTTCTGTGTTCCTGACATGAACACATAAGACATCCAAAAAAAGGGGCAGGTATTGTATTTAGCCATGTGTAAAGGATGCGCTCCAAGGATTTCTGGATTTGAGCTTGATTTCTGAAAAGTTCAATGCTTTAATCAGCACAAACCTCAAGCTTAATTGGAGGCCTGCTTTCATTGTCCTGTGTCATGGCTAGTCCCTACATTTGAGAAACGCAGAGTTCAGAGTCTTTATATAAATTTCATGAACACTATAAATTTGACTTCTTTATGATTTCATTTCACCATGAGTATTGTTTGGAAGTGGTTAAACAGGGAACAAATCAAAGATGCAGACGAAGAACATAAAAATGAAAATGGGTTTCAGAATCAGTATGCAATGGATACCAAAAGATGAAATTTCTTCACCAAAACTCGTGTAGACTATCTAAACGCAAAGCTAATTTTCTGTCATTTTTTTATCATAAGGGCCTTTGCAAAGAATCTTTTCAACATTTTTCCCCGTGTGGATTCGGTGTGTATATTTTCATGTGAATTTTCACATCATGTATTGTCAGGGTGGTTTTCGTTTTCTTTTTTCCTGGAAGAAACGGATAGGTGAAAAGAAAAGCAATTGACTACTAAGTTGCCCTTTTTCTTTTGCTTCTTGAAAACAAATTACTAATATAGGAATAATGTACTAATTGAAGGATCACCTAGCAAAATATTGCTACGTCCCAATATCATCAATAGATCGAGAGACTTATGCGAGAGCATGGGACATGGAGCCCCATAATCCACAAAGGGCATAAAACAGGATTGTGGATGCATAGGTGGGGGACCACCAGTGGATCGAGTACTGGCTCAGGGACCCACCCATCAGATCAATCCATCCATATGATCATCCATGAGAGATGAGACCATGCATGCATGCGATGCACATGTACACATGGAGAGCAAGAAGTCGTGTTTTCAAGGATGTGAGGGATCATAAAGCCATGCAACATGGAAGGCGGGGTCCACTAAATTTACAGCAATAATAAAAAGGCAGCCACTAACAATCAATCGTTATCTCATATCTCGTAAGAAGGAGAAAAAGAAAACTTTAAAACAAAGAATTAATATACATAAATAAATATTTCGCAAGTTCATTTTGTCGTATCGCATGCAGTCAATGGACTGGATGATCTGTCTCTCCTCTCAACTCAATCTCACAATCAAAGGTAACCTGTAAAGCACGCCCAAACCCCCTTATATATATATTTTAGATTATTATAAATAAACCCAATCCTAGATATGTATTTATAAAAAAATTCAAATACTATTTAAACATAGAAACACACCCAAAATCAACCCCAAAATCAACAATTGTATATTTTTTGGGTGTGTTTATAAATGGGTTTTGAGTGTGTGTAATGATGGATTTTGGGTGTGTTTATAAAGTGTTTTGGGTGTTGGATTTTTTTATAATTTCAGCCCCCATTTTAGGTGTTTTAGTGAAACTCCCTATATATTTCTCTTACAAAGACACCTCCTTTTATATATATAAAAGAAAAGTGTCAATGGGGGGCAATTGACACCAATTGTCCGAGTAGGTATCACCGTCCAAGAGGAGAAGTTTCCTTGAAGGTTCCTTACCATGTACTTCAACACATTCACACTATAGTGTAGGTACGTAGCATAAGACAAAAACTGTGTTGAGGTATATAAAAATACCATTAAAGTCAATGGGAAAAAGGGATAAGGAGACATAGAAGACCCCATTAAGATTACAATATCTATATAGAAAATTTTAACCTCACAAATCTTGATAATATTAATATATATGGTGACAGCTAGCTGGTAAACAAAAGAAAGAGTTCCAACTAGTCTGTGAGGCCTTCTCCAATTTATTTGTGGCTAAGTTTATATTTTCACCCTTTAAAATACAATTATTCATGTATTATCCGAACTCAAACAGTTTTTTTTTCCAACCTTGCAGACTCAAAATTTGACCCCATAACTTTATTAAATTGTTAAAAAAATGGTTTAACTCTCTTTTTTTGGGCTTAATTATTGATATATCCCTTAAACTTAATTTGAGTCTCATTTTGTCCCTAAAACTCAATTTGTCTCACTTTACCCTACAAATTAGAATTTTGTGTCTCATTTTGCCACATTGGTTAACTCAGTCAAAAAATCTGTTAAGTATGCTCACAAGGCACATGTTGAGCCCACTTGATAATTTATGTGGTTTGCCAAGTGTACAAAAAATATATATTAATAAAGAAGTATTTAATATTCCAAAATGTTAAATAGACATTACAAATTCAATTTAAAATTAAAAAACTACAAATCCGAAAAAAAAAAAAAAATTTGAAACATGCCAAACCCACACAACCCACCCTACCCCAGGACATGCACTTGGAAGAGACTTGTCCGCCTCGGGGTCTTCTTTGAATTTTTGTGCCATTTAAAAAACCACAATGACTCAATTTTAGTAATGCAAATTAAGGATTAATTTTGACAAAAGTACTTGCGGAATTGGTACCTTCTCGCTCAAACTTGCAAAAAAATGGACAATTGAAGGGTATTTTTGGACAATTGGTGCCTACCTGGTAGATAATCTAATTAATGTTAGAAGGATAATAGTTATCTAAAGTTTGACCCCCTCCGTGTGTTTAGGTAATAAATAATTGATATTAAAGAGGGGATCGAGAGAGAAATATATGTTGTAAAGTCTTGAGTGGAGCCCACATAATTAGAAGGGAATCTCACACACCTTCACGAGTTTTCTATTTACCGAATAGTTAGCCAAAGTTTTGTTTATAAAAACTATGGCTTCATTCTCATTCTGTAAGGTGATAGATAGAGAATATAGAAAGAAAGAAAAGAAATAATGAAAATATAGAAGAGCATTCCTATCGCTATTTGAACTCTCTAAATTCTCTCCTCAATTTCTTTAGTTTTATAACACGTTATCAGCACGAATATCTCTAAAATACCAGCTGAGATATTCGATCAAAACACTCCTGCTTCATTATTTCTTGGGTTTGATTGAGTTGCTCATACTCTTCTGTGTATCAATATAGCTTCTGTGAAGCTTTGTCCCCACTGTCTCAGCCCTCACTCTACCAATTCTTCCCCGGTCTCAAATCCACTTCATCGTCGCCATCATCGTCGTCTTCGACGTCATCCAAGCTCTCGATTTCCAGCGCCGCTGTCTAGGCGCGAACAGGCCGGTCCAGGCCACTGCCGTCGAGACTCAGTGGACGAAGCCTATATCTGATTGACCTCTAGCCGGAGTCATGGTGATCAGATCATGGAGCCTCTGTGCCATGGAGCTTTCCAAAGCTCTTTCCCACACTCATTTTCCATGCTTTTAAGAAAGTCGAGGCAACCCATGTTGTGAAGGCCTACTTCTTTGGTCTGACCAGAGTCTGGTGGTTTTGCTTGCGATATGAAAAACTGATAGGAGCTGTTGGGGAAGCACAGCACAATCATAATGCTGTTGTGAAAGTTCATGAGGCAGAGGTGAAAGGAGGAGAAGTGCTAAAGCCTGTTTCGAGAACAGCAAACCCACCAAAAAGGAAGAAATAGTATTTTTCACTTTGGTGTTGAGCAAACCCACCAAAAGGATAAGCTTCCCTTCATCTTTTCAAATTATTTCATTATTAATATTATTTATTTCAATATTAAGTGCAGGTGTGTGCTGATGGCTGGTGGAAAAGGGAAGCATGATAATCATGCACTAGTCTCTTTCCGCATAGTTACATATATTAATATAATAATATTATATCTTTTCCTATTTCCTCTAGCTTTAAGAGGAATTCCACCGAAAGAAAAAAAAAGGGGGAGGCAAATCAAGTTGACAACATATATATTATTTGATCATGGTGTTAATAAGAACCCACCAATAACCTTATGGACGGTTTCACTTCTTATATTTTTAGTGGTGGTTTTATTTCCACATCTACTTTATTTATTGTATGGTGTAGGTTTATTACCCATACAACAGTATTTATTTAAAAGTGTGGCGCGGGTTTATCGTCCACACAACTGTCTCTACT